GGGGGGGGGGGGGGGGGTCGAGACTTTGGTAAAGAACAGCTACGCGAGCTCTGGATACCGAGGACATTGAAGCTTTCAGGTTACTTAGGGACGAGCGATGATGAAATTGTCGACAGGCTCCTGTTGTCAGAGCTTGTATCACGTGCATGGAACTCGAGACAATGCGTTGCATGATTGAATTAGGGTGTAATATTGATGGATCAGAACTGAGGATTTGAGAGAATGAGAGGATATTATATCGTGGAGCCCTTGATCTTGGATCTGCTTGTCGGAACCATCCGGTGGGTGGGCTATTCCATCAGCGAAGATGGAGTAGTCCGTGATATTATACCCAACTATCCAGGTGATATCAACGCCAATTGACGAGATCGATTAACTTGACGAGCTGTTTAATTATTATTTTTAAAAACTCTGCTCCCTACGATGCAATTGATATATTGGTATTATAGCCTGAATCATAATCATGACTATTTTTCTTAGCTACCTACTAAGGTATTTCGAATAGGGCCCAGTCAGACGTTGCCAGCTCATTGTGCATTAATGCCTGTCTACAAGATCAACGCCGTGGCTGGACCTAGTTATAAAAGGGAGATGTGCTCTCTTGTCTAAAGCGGTTGATTGATGCCCTGTCTATTCCTTTTTTTATGCAATGATGGACTGTCACTTGAAAGTTGAAGTGATGCAGTCTTTGAACTTACATCAGATTAGTCTACGTACCGACTGGCCTAGAGTCTTGATGAACAGTTGGCCAGTGCTACGCTGGCGACATACGACAAGTCGACCGCCAAATCAATGACCAGTCATTCTTCTCTCCAACAGTAACAAAGAGACAACAAACTCTTGAAACCACGGACCCCGTCGCCAACTGGCCAATAGGCCTCAGCTCATCTCTTCAGGTTCCAGAGAGTTGCACCAACAGCCCCTTGCCCAACCCTGACGGTAAGTAGCTTGGCAATTCTTGATTAATAGTCGCTGACTTTGCCTTGCACAGGATACGACTGTACATTAATAAGTCAGAACCAGGCTGAACTCATCGCTGGTTGGTGGCCACACATCCATCATGGGCATGGATGGAACAAGGACAAATACGGCACCAGCCGCATACGCGAGAAGCCAATGGAATATCGCCAAATCCATGTTGGTGTGTATCCATGGGCTGAGCCTGTGAGCACGGGACATGGAGTAGACTATGTGTCTACCGTCTACGAAGTCGATAAGCCCCCTACTCCGAGTCAGGCGCCTCCAGGTTCTAGCGGGATTGGTCCTTTGAGTTCTCTTTAGACCCGTCCTGATCCACCTATTTTTTGTCCGAGGAGTGAGTGCTGCAGTGGTGCATCATGGCAGGGTCACAGTCATTAAAGAAAACAGGGACCATGGACAAATTGGAGCTCTCCAAGTGAGACATTTAGAGGCCTCTCGACGCAATTGCTCAATTCAACAAGCCTTTGGGTTGTCAGCTTGATTTGCCATCCAAAATTGGTGGTAGTCATACTCACAATCATATCAGATCAGCGCCTCACTCGCAAACATGGATAGGAGGATTTCCAGATCCAGGAATCGGCTTAAGCTGTACCACGCAACACACGCACATGTACATGCACTGCGCATGCACAATCTCATTACATCGCAACGCCTCTCACCTCACCTCATCTCATCTCATCAGGGGATAATGAGATGAAAGGTGCTAAATCACATTGCATCTTGTGCATGCATCGCTTTGTCGGCCACTCCCGTGCTATCTACCTTAGCTACTATCCAATATCATGTGCAGCAGCAGGTTTACAAACGGGCTGAGGCGGTACTTGAATATTGGGCAAAGCCGATTAATCTACCTATTTGGTGGCTTCCATCCGAATTAGGTACCTACCTACCTACCTACCTATCTATTTGTTGTCTCTGTGCACCCTCTGTCTGCCTTATAGGAGGCATCCAGGGTCTGACACTGACATTGAGTCTGTCATTATCTGTTTCTCACCCATTGGCCTACTTGCGCCAGCTTTGTCACCAAAACCTGCCTACCTACCTACTACCTAGGTATAGTCACCACGGCGGTTCCTGTTATATTAACATCGTCAGTGTGATCTGCCCTTCACTCAAACGACCATCTCTTGTCAAGGGAATCTCTCCAAGACTCACCTTTATTACTTCACAAGTTAGCGGAACCATGTCCCGCTCCGCTTGAGAATAGACTTGACACCCTAAGAACCGGTCGAAAACACACCCCATAAGGCGATCTCACTACACCAGGCAATATTCCTTCAGAACCTGCAACTTTACTCAGGAATCATCAAGGGCTCTCTTCATTTTCTCTCAATAGGTTCCAGCACAGAGAGAATCTCAGCCCAGACCTTGTGTTCCCGCGTCTGGCTAGAAGTAGCAATCCTCGCTTCTTCATCCGTCCGCTATCACATGTACCGCAGCATCTTGAGCGAGTCGCTTCCTTTCGTCGTACCCGACGTCTCCAAGCCAGTTGGCTGGGTCCATCGATAGGCTATATCGTGGCCCTTAAATGCAATATATTACAAGATTCCACAAACTCCTCGATCCTTTCGCGTCTTGCCATCAACCCCCAATGAGTTTATCGAGGGAAACCGCCCAAGACGACTTTCGCTTTCTAAAGACTTTCGCAGAACGAGGGTCTAGTCCTCGATGGACTTCCACTTCTTCCCGTGGTTGAGACTTTATGAGAATTCACATCAACACCTACTTTTGGACCTATTCCAAGCCTCATTCTCACCAAGGTAGTTTCCAAGGAAAGATCTCAGCATGGAGCCCTTTAATGACCAGGAGAAGGTATATCTCGCCATACTAGCCTCCTGAATTCTTCAACTGACCAGACTCACTCCAGCGGCATCTCCTTGCCGAAATAATCAAACACAGTCAATTAGATGTCCAATATTTGGAGAATCTAGTTCGTCATATTGAGCCAAACTGGATGCAAATGCAACTCCCGAACGGTAAGTAGAATGAATACCTACCTAGCCACCACATCCAGATCTCCTGAACTAAACATCCTTTATAGGCCGCAACATGGCTCAGTGTATGGAGACAGCTCAGAACATGTACATAGGACAGCGTGGGACAAAGCGAAAAGCTAGCGAAGAAGAATCGAGCACTCAGAACAACAACGACGGCCAACTTCACAGCAACCAAGCTCTGCCTCTTCTGTCTCAACATTCTCCAGCGCAGAACTCACCGGCAAACTTCCAACGCCAACCCACTATGGCTCCTGGGCCCCATTTGCAGCAACCTCAGCGAACTGACCAGCCTCCCAAGAAGAAAAAGGGTCGTCCAGCATATGCAGGCCGGGACGTGACTAGCCAGCGACCTTTTAATCCTCGACCTATCGCTCCAAAGCCATCTGCACACATTCTACAGAATCCCCACTCGGGCTTTCGCACTATTGCACCGGCTCCTCAAGCTGTTCTTCCGCCACGGCCCCCGGGATCACTGCATAATAAATACAAAGGTCTAAGCCGCACACTTCCTGGAGAGTTTCAAAATACCCACAGGAATTTGGATTCTTACCAGCCTTCTATCATGCCGTCCTCCGGGATGCCTCAGCCAAAGCAGGCAGTAGGAATCTTAGACAATATACCGGTAGGTAATCGCATTTCGTCTGTTGGGCGTTAGCTAATACTCTAATAGCATGGAGAACATATGTCTAACCGCCCGAGATCCCTTAGTGAAGCGGTACCGCGTGTGCAAAAACAAGAAGGTTCTCCAAACAATCGATCAAGCTCATTGCAGCCGATGGGAACTGATGACCAAAGCCGCATAATACAAAGCAGAGCGCCAGACCAGATGCAAGAAACGAAAACAAAACCGGATAAGGAGAACACGAATCGACACCAGAGAAAGACTTAGGGAAATGACACCAACATTGCTGAATGAGCGAACGAGGGAGAACAAGGAGCTTCATCGACTACTCGTGGGATAGTTCGTACGATGATGCCAGGGACGGATCTTAATGATGGTTTAAGGCTGATGAGGACGGCATAGACAAAGGCCAATGATAAGAGAGCAGCTGGTTTGACTCTCACATAACCCATAAAGCAGGGAGACTAACAGGTGTGAAATTCAGGACATCTTCAGGACTGTAAACGGGCATCAATAGACAGAGTTATGAATTAATAACAATTGTCTCAAGTGAGACATAAACTTGCACTCCTTGCTCAAGCGCAATTATATACAATTCGCATATCTCCTCGACGAATGAAAATAGACACCTGCCTGCTTATTGACGAGAGAAACATGTCACGATAAAAGATACAATAATGCTCAAGCAGGTACAAGAAAGTGTATGAAGAAAGCAAGACGCTTATGTTGATTGCATTAACCCTCATTATCCTTGGCTTCACAACCTCCAATCAAGTGTGCCTAGTCCATCCCAGATTTCGGCCTCGAGATAAAAAGAAATACCTGGATCCCCTAGGTCTTCGCTAAATACATTTTCTGATTTATTCAGATAATCCCAAACTCCAGTGTCCTTAAATGGCCATTTTGATGTCCCCCTTGCACCCCCTTTTACTGCTTAACAATCTTCTCAATTGTGTCCACAAGGATATCAGCATGCTTCTGCTGGAAAATGAGCATAGGTCGCAGACGAACGGCGCTGGCGCCACTGCCACCGATGTTCACACCCAATTTCTTGGCCTCTACTAGGAACTGGTCACGCTTGGGGCTGTCGAAGGCAATGAATGTACCTTGACCCTTGCCGCGGAGGTTCTCGATCTGACCGGGGTACTTCTTGCTAAGAGACTCGAGGTCCTTGAAGAGGCGATCACCAACTCGCGCGGTGTGGTTGACGAGGTCGTTCTTGTTGATTTCGTCGACAATGGCCTTGAACAGGATGGCGCGAGCAGGGTCACCCATCCATGTGTTGAATTGTCTGTAAGGCTTGTTGGGGCGGATAGCAGGGTCGCCATAGTAGAAACCGGCAGCTTGCGCCTTCTTAGAGAAGGTCACGATATCAGGGGGTGTCTCGAGGTTCCAGTGGTCATGAGCCCAGAACTTGCCAGTAGCGCCAATACCAGTCTGGACTTCATCGACAATAAGCAGAATGTTATGCTTCTTGGTCAAGGCTCGCAGCTTGCGGAAGAAGTCAGGCGAAGCGTGGTTGTCACCGCCTTCACTCTGCACCGGCTCGACGACAACGGCGCAAGGAGGCAGGTGCCAGTTCTTAATAAGGTGCTCGACTTCATCAAGACTGGCCTGCTCGATCTTCTTGTTCTCCTCCACGTTCTCCTCGAGGGGATATTTGAGCTTGGGGAAAGTCGCTTGAGGCCAGTCAAAAGCGGGGATGTCGACCTTATGGATAGCCTTGGAGCGGGTAGTAGAGAGCGACCCAAAGAGACGACCGTGGAAGCCGGTCTTAAAAGAAAGAATAGAAAGATCAGGGCTTCCGGGGGCATGGTTATCCATAGCACTGTCGAGTTCCTTAGTGCTGAAATCAACCTCAGGGCCACCGCGCTCTTGCTGTCGGCGCCACATAAAGGCGGCCTTGTAGGCAGTCTCGTTCGCATCCGAGCCAGCCATGGCAGTGAAGACATTATCCAGACCCTTGGGAGCAACAGTAAGAAGACTAGACCTGAGAAGATCGGCCCAGTCGTGAGAAGGGAAAGCTCCGAGGGCAGGTCGGTTGACAATGGCGTTTACCATCTCAGGGCTGGAGGCGGCCTTGAGAAGGGCAGGGTTGTTATAACCGACAGCAATTGAAGCAATCTGAGCAAAGCTATTTTGTTCGTTAGTGTTAGGTAATGAAGCTGGCATTCAATTGACTCTTACACATCGAGAAGCACGTTGCCATCGGGGTCGGCAATGTAATTGCCCTTGCTCTTGGTGTAGTCGACAAGCATGTTTGCGCTGCGAGTATCAAAGACCTTGGTGAGCTCATCCAGGTGACTCTTGGTCTTAGGGCCAGGAATAGCTGTCTTGACTGTAGGGGCGTCTGGCTCGCCAGCGAAGAAGGTCTTCTCAGAAACAGCAGCCATCCGCATGCTGCGCGAAGTAGCGAAAGAGCGGGAAGCTGTAACTCGGGCAGCTCGAACAGCTGGCCGGGCGGCCATGCCAGCGCGGAAAGCCGACATGACTAAGGGTTGCAATTGATGAAGAGTGTGAGTGTCTTGTAAAGCGCTTCGACCGTGAGGTAAGGTATAAATTGATATGCCTGCTAAATGAGGACAGAACGTCAGCATAAATGAAAGCGTGCCGTCATGATATGGAAGCAAACAATGTCAAGAGATGCAGCCATGATAGAAGCCAAAAACGGAGAGGGCAACTCACTCTTGTCAAGCTACTGAGGTAAGGTAGAAGCTCTGAAGATGGAAGAATGCCACACAGATCAGAGAGATATGGAAGAGGAGGGGAGAGAAGGAAGGGAGGTTGTCGTCAGCCCTTTTATAATGTATCACTCACTTCAGAAAGGAAAGGAAAGGAAGGGTCCTTACTCGGACCCGGCTCTCACCTCACCTGCCCAACGCCATGATGTCCCAGTCCGTTACCTACCTACAACTGAAAGCTACTAAGGTCTAACTAGTATGTACTTACCACCTAAAAATGTTTCCTTTCCCCGCATTTGCTCTCAAGAAATTGACCAAGCGGAGGGCGGAAGTTTGTGAGAGACAGCGGAGGCAAACAGGAAAGAGGGAGGGGTGAAGTTAGACGTGTTGAAGACTTGCCGTAATAGGGAAGAAGCTGTAGCGCCCCAGCTCGCTTACAACATCTCTCGCTCCTCTGATTCTCTCCGCTAGTTATCAGTTGACATTGGGTTCTTGTCATGACTTCTAACCTAGCCTCCATATCAAATTGCAAGACACCATTGATTTATTTGGATAATACTGTTGATTTTAACGTCGTCTACGAGACCATTTGCTTTTCCAATTCAACCTCACTCTTTCTTGGTCTCAAGGCCCGTGCCTCACCTCCGCCTTCACCTTCACCTTACCCATGGTGAACCCAGACCCAGATCTCGATAACAGACTGCAGTGCCGACATGTCTACTGTGCAGGGGCCAGATACTACATACACAAATACGTACCGATAACATCCATGGATGCATTGCCCAACCATCATTGCAGCCTATCTCACGCTCAAGTACACCCCGTGACCGGCTGCCAGCCACTGCACATTCACATACATCCAGGCACTGGTATCCGTACTGTTTGATAACAGAATCAAACTCGCCCTTTCACGGGTTGACCTTCCTGATTCCATGTCCGGCTCTCCAAATCCAAATCCACCAAACTCGTCAATGCGCGGGGTAAGACAGGTATCTCCATAGGTAGGTACCTAGGTATCTTGGGGTACTTGGTATAAAACGGTGCTCAGATCCTGATACGCCTTCTAGCTACAGTACTTGCACCAATCTAGTCAGAAATACCGACCACTATTCCTCACCGAACTCACCTTCAGACATGATTGCTTACTTTGTTTGGAGATCTTTCTATCGAGTGGGTATTTATCTGCCATTTAAAAGCAGCATATCTCCCATACAGCGTATGTACACCCCCAAGCATGGCAGCCGTCCTTCCCGTCCCACACACCGGACCGGTTCCGGTCTCGGAGCCGTCCGAGTTCTCGGCTGTCAGACGTTGCTTTTAGTACGCTTGACATCCAGAAGCCTACCCCTTTGGGCAGGTTAAGGGAGACTGGAGGCTATAATCCATGGCCTAGATAGTTCGTCCGTCTATAAACATTGGAACACGATAACAATCACATGAGTCGAAAACAATATTTTCCACCTTGGCCAATCTTTCTAGTCATTCAAGAGTAACAAGTCGCCTCGATTCTCCGCGCGGCCATAAAACTCTCATGCTGTCACAATGCCAATCTATAAGTTGGATAAGCCGCGGCTCTTCCATCCTTATCAACTGCGTTAACCATAATGTCGATGCGTCCGATTCTGATGCCCAAAAGAACTCGCTACCAGAAATGCAATGCTAATGCCAATGCCATGCCTGTATCACAGAAACAAACAACGCCCACAATGCCCAAAACTCCTGGTTCGCCTGCAAGTTAAACATCTTTCTCATGCTCTCGCATATATCTGACAAAGGTCTTCTTGTGGGTCTGGTAGCTATGTTAGCATCACAAAGAGAACATCAATTTCAAGCAGTAGTCAGTGAAAGCTTACCATTCCAGCGTATTTGCCGTCTTTCAGCACACAAATGTACCTGAGTCCGAGCTTCGCGAAAAGCTCATAAACCAAGTCCATTGGTGATCTGATATCCAGTGCAACAGGTGCCTATACTCATCAGTGGTGTGCGAGGTAGCACATATCGTGGAATGCTCACAGGATCTATGTAAGGTGTAAAGTCTGTGGGATCATGCTCCCCCTCATCTTCGTCAATGCTAGGAACGTGGTCCATGAGGCAAAGATTCGTCGCCTCGTCCTCTAACTGATCAAGCGCATATCCAAGATCAGGTGCGGGAATCAACCCAACCAAAATACCATGTCGCACAATTGGCAGTCCTCCATCGAGTTCGCCAGCCTTGTGCAGGAGTTCGAGTTTGATTCTCAAGCTCGTAGCAGGCACAACTGGGGAATTCGTAATGTCAATAACTCGTTCTTTTCGAATCCGAGGCACAATGTCAGCCAGGTCTTCCGTAAAGATCGGCTTATGCTTATTGTCCAAGAATGGATATGAATTCATGCTGGTGAGAAGATCCTGTACAGGTCAGTTGCTGCTCGGTACATTGACCAAAGATGAAAGACTCACATAGATGCTGTTGGGCTCGATAGCATCGGCTGTCCATTTGGATACGAGGATGGCGAGAGAGAAGGGCAGGACATAATCAAGGCTACCGGTGAGCTCGAATAAGATAACTGCGAGTGTGACAGACAGTCTCGTCACACCACACATGGTGGCACCAGCTGCAATGAGACCATACACACCAGGTTGGATGCACGAGCCGTCTCTGCTGAAAGCACAGTCTCCCCAGATAGCCCAGTCCGGGACACGTAGCACAGCCCATTGCACCATATGGCCGACTATCCGACCCATCAAGCCTCCAACAACCATAGATGGTACGTAGATTCCAGCAGGAACTTTCTGTTGGGTATATTAGTTTATGTCATAGCTCGTTCTGAAACAAACTTACAATGCCAAAAGTGATAACAGTGAGGAAGCCCTTGATCAAGAGAGCCACAAACAATTCAAAGAGGATAGGGGGAATCTCATCAATGGCTCCAGGACACAATGCTCGTTCGTCCCAGTCAGTGCTGGAACCCTCGCACGGCGATGCGACATTGAGAAGCAGCTCAGCAACAGGGAGCTTTGTCAGAGGATTCCAATAGCTCATCAATCCTGTTACCATTGCTACAAGCAGTACTTCCAGCAGAGGATGCTTTTTGATCAGCTGGATCCTTCTGAAGGATTGAGCCCAGTATTTAGAGGCTTTGATAAAGAGCGCTCCCAGTGCACCGCCAATGATGCCCACAAATATGAAGCTTCCAAGCTCGAAATACTCCCAGTCGACCAGATATCTCACTTCAAACAGAACGATCTTGTGTGTACCGTAGGGGTTGAGGAATTTGAGAGACAACGCGGCGACGATACAGCAGAAGAAGGTTCGGAACAGCGTTTTTGCAGGGAAGAAGTATGAAACTTCTTCAAGGCCGAACAGTACTCCGCCTAGCGGCGCACCAAATGCCACGGCGACTCCCGCGGCTGCAGCTGCTGAAATAACCTCTCTTCGCTTTCCGTCGTTTCGATCATACTTGGAGAATAATCGACACAGGATGTTGCCAACGCAGGCAGCCATATGAACGTACGGGCCCTCTTTTCCAAGACTCATGCCAGAAGCGACACTTAGGATCAGTGCTACTAATTTGATAATCAGGGTCCTGGCACCCAGGAAACCGTGCAATACGAAGCCACTGAGAATAACGCGAACCTCGGCAACTCCACTGCCGGCTGCAGAATAGTAGACCATAGGGGGATTCTCTGGCTTTGGATCGGGTTGCGGTTGAGGGGTTGAAGATTCACTTGTGTTCAAGTCGTCATATGTCTGCGTTGGTTGATCAACAGCCAGGTTCTCGTCTAGAGTCGTCAGTTGATATGCAGATGGGACAACTGTTTTTGTCCACAGTGCCATCCAACAGGCAATGAGAGCAAGGGTGAGAACAAAGGCCATGTAAATCGCGAAGCTTCTCCAGATGTCTCCGGAAGGACTGTTCACAACATGTGCCCACCTGACCCAGTCCTCACAGACTTCTTCGGCACAGCATCTCTAAGGTCAATATTAGCCTACATTCGTGACAAGAACAAACTGAGGAATGTGCGCATCATGAATCGGGTACTGACCTTTCTGCTGAGGTACCAAGCTTTGCTGCAGTAGCCTTCCTTGAAATCAAAGACAGTGGATTCGGCAACGTCAACTGTGTATGCCATCAATGCAACGAGAAACCCACAGAGAGCACTCAGAATCCAGCCCTGGGCGCCATCAAAGATAATGCGAACCCTGCCCCAGAAGTCCTTACGACTTCGTAGCTCCTTGACTCTGTAGGAATCGGCGATTGCGTCATGCACCCAGTCGGTACTGGTGAATTGATCGTACCACATGCGTTCATCGGGGAAAATCGTGCCTTTCGATTCGGCCATGGAGGACTCATGGCGGTCAGACAGGGCGTTAACCAGTCTTGAGCTCCACGAGGGATGCCGGCTATGATTTCGAGAGCCATGATAGGCACCTGAGACGCAGAAATGATTAGCCAGAGTCAGAATTAGTATACCCCTGGAGAGCGCACCTATGTAGCTGTGGTCCCGTGATAAGGATCCTTTTTGCTGACGAGTTGAGCTTTGCTCACTGATACGAATGCGCGACCTTGAAGCTGTGAGCAAGGGGGTTCGCTCGTCAAGTTCTCCTGTTGAAGCATTCCGCTGGAGAGGATTCCGTCTTCGCGTAGTCCGTGGTGAGGGCGGCTCGGAGCCTTCTGCTTCTTGTCCCGCCATGATGGAATGAAACTACAGTGGAAATGAAGTTGAAGTTTAAGGAGCAGGGAGTGGAGTGACAGGCAAGCTCCCAGGGCGATACGAGCTTTAAAGCAAGGCGCCTGCCTGGTCTGGTCTGGAGATAAAGAGAAGAT